AAGGCTGAAAGGTGCTGAAGCCATCATGTAGGGTTTGCAACCTGTGACATGAGTGCGGAAACTGGATGCTAAATAATCTTGACAATGTGAGCGGTAGACTTAGGAGGCTATTCTAGCTTTAGCACTTTCGATGGTTCAAAGAGTCGCTTCTTCATCTTCAGCCTTTGTATAATATACACCTATTAGCTTACTTAAAAGTAATATTTATTTCTTAGGTATGTTCTATGTGTATAGTAACTATGATAACCATTCTAATATACTATGTTAGTACTAAAAAGCCTTATCGTCTTAATTAAGCTAATACCTATCTATAGGATCTAACCTAACCAATGGAATGATAAACAATTTACCGAAGAATTGGCTGATCTAAGACTATGATATGATAAAGTTAGGGATTAATTAGAGTAAGCTTACTTTCGAAACCGAGAACTAATTGACCTCTTATCCAAATATATATATCAACTCGATAAGCAAGCATTCGATAAGGAAGTGCTGGAGATGAATTTGGATCAGTATAAAGAGGCACTTGCTGACATAACTAGATAGCTTGCTGAAAAAAGCTGCGTTATTAAGGCTTAGGAATATCTTTTACTCTCTGCCAGGGAAAAGATACAAGACTTAACTAATACAATTGCAGAAAAGGAGGAGCTGCTTTCACGTCTAGGGCTTGAGACAGAACTCGATAAAACGGATAGTGCGAGACTAAAGAAGAGAAAATTTGCTCTCTGACACAGAGTATGTATACAATTATGTGTTATAATACTAGTACCATTACGACTACATAGTAGTAATTTTCTTCCGTGTGGGTAGAAGCGCCGATTTTAGCACCTTCCACTGTAGGAAATAGGCCCCGCACAGCGCCTCAGGCCGCAAATCCACGCTGCTAAAATCCAAGACTGCTATATTACTAATTATGTACTATAATTCTACAAGCTAACAAGTCCTTCTCCTTCTGCAAACCAACAAGAACAAGTCCTCCACATCTACATCTACATCTACATCTACATCTACCCACGAGCCAGCGAGCGCACCTCTCGTTTACCACCCACCGCTTCGTCTTCGTCTTCGTCGCTTCGTCTTCGTCTTCGTCGCTGCGCAGCGCCACACCGTGTCCCATGTCCCATGTCCCATGTCCCATGATGTCCGACGCGTGGTTCGCCGAGAAGCTCGCGCCTGACGGCGACACGATAGACGGCTGCCACCCCCAGCAGGCACAGGCGCTGAAGCAGTACCTGCGCGAGGAGATGAGCGCCCAGTCAGCCGCCCGCGCCATCACACAGCCCGTCCTAGAGGCTGAGAACCCAGTGGAGAGCCTACAGTCCTTCTGGGGCTTTCTGGTCGATGCCCTGATCGAGCTACCTTCCAGACACACCGGTGGACTAGTCACACTGCTCCAGGCGGTCCAAGACCTTCCTGAGCCTGATACAACAGCACCAGGATGCGAGAAGCTCAGGCGTAAGAAGCTCTGGCGTGAGCTGCCGGGATTTGGCCACCAATATGCCGACGCTCACCAGTGGCAGGACTGCCGCAAACTCTACACCACAGCGGCGGCAGCAACAGACAACTTGGAGCAGAAGCGCCTGCAAGACTACAACACCAAGAAGGCCAAGGTCGAAGCTCATCTGGTGGAGGCAGGGCTCCTCCCCATCGACTGGGGGTACGAGACGGTGGCAGATGCGCTGGAGGCAAGCAGCGCCGTGCTCGACCTCGAGGTGCCTGCAGCGGCAGAGTGGCTCGTCATCCTGGGCCCGCGCTTCCGCGCAGGTGCCGCCAAGGGGGAGCAGAGCTGGGCCCTGGCGAGGCAGAGAGACCTCTGGAAGGGCGGCGGCGGCTCGATGACGCGAGAGCGCTACTCTTTCTGGGCCGAGCGGCTAGGCAGCCTCAGCCTGCAGGCGTGTGAAGCTGCCACGCTTCGTGCTGCGGCGGCGGCAAGGGAGGCAATGTGGCGGCAGCAAGGAGAAGGAGAGCGGGGTCAGCAGTAGCAGGGAGAACTGTGTTAGTGGCACCAGGTACTGTACGTACTTCGAAAAGAGAGTGTCCTAGAGGATAGTGACTTTTGACAACTGTACAACAAAGGGACGAAAATTGGCTGCTTTTATTGTCTGGTTTGTTGTCCAATTTGGTGGTTGATTCAAGCTATTTGGGGGTCGAAGCGTGGTGGATTTGGCGATACACGACCCGACGACGCTGGCGGGGGCCTACCCGGCAGGACGCGTCCCAAGCCGCGTCGGAATCGAAGCTAGAGACACGATCACAGTCGCGCCGGAAGGAGATGAAGGTAGTGTTCGTACGCTACGAAGCAAGCGATAGCCAAGCGCGAAAGTCATATAGAACAAGGCTATCTAGACTAGGACACACTCGAAGTAACTCAACCACCATCGGAGAAGCAGAACGGAAACTCCACACCAGACACGACTACTCACGACACGCAAGCGAAGGTGAATGAAAAGCACCAGGAAAACGAACAGGCTACACTACAAACATTATAAGGGCAGGTTAGCGAGCAAAATGGACTGCTTAAGATCATCCTGGAGGCTTTGCAGAGAGAGGTAGGAGGAGCATAATAAAGCGTTATAGAATGGAAATCGCCCAAGTCAAGGATAAATTGCGAACAGTTATAGACAAGCTGAACGAAGTTAAGCAGCAAATGATAGAAGGTATTATACGATTAGGAACAACGCAAACTAGCCCGAATCCGTCATACATAGACGTTGCATATATGCCCCCGACCAGCAACCCGAGCAATATGAGAACACTCTCTTCAGGATACGCCAGCATACCTAGCTTGAGCGGGACGCTATACTACTGTACATTCGATACCTCAAGAGTAGAGCAAACGGCGGTTGAGCAATTCTCGGCTGGAGCACTCTGAGCAATAGTAGAAAAAGGGGTCTATGCTGAGCGAGACAAACCCTTATGGCGATGCTAAGTAGTAACACAAACCCCTAGGAACCTATATCGGATCAGGATCGTCTATAGGGACGAAGCCGAACATCACCTAATAAAGAAAGGGGTTAAAACCAAGATGACATAAGGGGCACGACTCTTATGAGACGATCTTTACCCTATATCAAGATGGATGGCGTCGTCCATACTACAGCACTGGACGAGGAGGGTCAGGATAAAGTAGGAGCAGCCAAGGAGATTAGCAAGTAAAACGATATTGAAGTGGCCAAGGTGACGTGGTTAAGCAGTCGCAAACCGTCATAGGCCCACGGATCGATGATTCTACACTTGACTAAGGTGGCTGATGTGCGAAGGCTCCAGGGCCGGCTCCTAACGACCCCCATGAACCACCACAAATGGGCAAAGATGGTCCCCATCAGTCACAAGAGAGGATAGATAGGCGATCCGAAGTATACTCTGGATCAACAAGGAAGTAGAAGCAGAACAGATCCCAATTGATTCACCAGATCTAGTAGCAGTAATTATATAGCTCTAAGACAGACAGGTGCTAATCTTATCGGTCTATATACCGTGTCTAGATGGTAAGGCCCTAGATGAGATATATGACAAGATATGCGAAGTGATAGTGAAAGTATGATAGTAAAGTATAGGAATGATGTTAGAGATTATAATCATTAGCGATTTTAACTGTCATGATTTATTATAAGGGGAAGATAATATATAGCTTATGAAGTTAAGGAGGAAGGAGAGCTTATTATCAACTTGATAAATAAATATAATCTTAATAATTTATTATCTAGAGATATAAAGATATAGAGTGATAAAATCTATAATATAATGATTAATTTTATCTTAATAACGTTAAAGATATAAGATATGATAATCAAATATATAGTATTAATAATAGACTATGAGTCTAATCACTATATCATTAACACTAGCTTTGACATTTTAACATACTCTTTAAAACCATAAGAGAAGCTATTATTGAAGAATACTCCCTAGAATAATATCAAGGATAAGATTATAAAAATACTAGAGACTTATTTATAATATAGGTTTATATAATAATAGATAGATTAATTAATAAAAATAATATTAAAAGCTATTTATATACTAATACCTAAAGCTAAGCTATCATTATACACAAAGAGATAATAGACAGCTAATCTTATATAACTATATAACTAATAATGATTATATTTTAATTACTAGAGATAGGATATTAGATACTTAAAGAATAGTCTTTAAGCTAGCTTACTTTAAATACTAATAAGCATCTATAGTAAGAAAGGAAAATCTGTAATATAAAAACTGGAAATGGAGAGTGTAGAGAGTTATAAGTGAAGTATCTAGTCAGGAAATATATTAGTAATCAGTGCTAGTTACTCTTTCAGGTTAGGCCTGTCGGGCGTAATAGATTTGTGTGTGTGCGTGTGTGTGTGTGTGTGTACATACTTCAGAGCGGAACTCATCGGCAAGGCAAACATGATCTCTTTGAGCATCCCAGCCTACAAGGCCCTCAGCCTCGAGAAGCACCTGCCCGTCTGTAGCAGCTCGCTGTGCGTGCGGGCTCGGCTGGGCGAGCCAACCGCGGTAGGGTAGCTGAGCATGTTACGCCGCGGGGCCACGTATGTGTCTATCGGCTCTTGAGGAGGGTGTAACTCTACGACGTGATACAAACATTCCACAAACGATGAAGATTATTTAAACCTTCAAAACGCCGCCATCTTCGCCATGACTACAGCCCGTCTATTCTCGTCATTACAACAGACCACGCATTCGCCTTCTTGCTTTAGGCCCTGCATACTATTCCAGCATGAAGTCCTCCGTTCCTACCTCGATTCTCCTCCTTCTACCCTACCCCACAGGTGCCATCCCAACTAGCATCCAAATGCGCGCAGACCCGCCAAACTCTCCTATTCATGTAAAGCTTAACTCTAGTCCTCTCCTAGCTAGATACAATAAGTAATATATAACCCGGCTAGCTTCAAGATGGTCCTGATCCAAGCCGGTCATACCCTTGTGGTTCGTCATTCTAGCGCCCTGCTATGTAAGCAGAATGCTGAAACATCCAGGCTCTGAGACATACACTGGGTTTGATATCTATCTTGCTGTTCAGTATGCTGTCAACTTGGAGAGCCTTGGAGAGACCCGAGGCAGTAAGCATTCTTTTCTGATCTCACCCCATCACGGGCTAACTAGGCTGTTTCCAGAACACCGTTATCCCCACCCGTTCGATCAAGACAACTCAAAGGGCAACATCCTACACTTCCCCAGCAGCTGTCCTGCCGATGGGAATCGAAAAGAATATCCTCTCAAGAATGGAGGTAGTGTATATAATGGTGGCAAGAATAATAATAAGCAGGGTGAAGAACGTGTTGTCTACTATGAAGAGCCTGGCGAGATTGGGGGAGATGGCCATAGCCTTGTCTACTACTGTGGGCTTATGACACACGAAGGCGCACCTACGGGCGATTTGTGCTCTGCTAGTAGATCAACATTACAGTCATTGATTCTTTTGATACGTCTAATAAAAGAAACTGCTTTTGGTGTTTTGTCCTTTTGATAAGGCGTATTGTCTACTTTGGTAGGAACGGTGATAGCAACGAGAGATTGCTGTATGAGGCATACAAACCTTCCAGATATGGTAGTGCCTTGCTGCCAATTGAGGCAACCATTCACACAGAAATAGATACAAGCGCTATTTGTAGGGGGTATGCTGTTGGGGTACTATGGTTGGACAGAGTGTAGCTTGTAAATATAGAAGAGATAGTAAGAAGTAACTGGTAGCCAAGGGGCACAAAAAGGCGTACGATAGAGAGCAAAGGAGCAGGGAGCCATAACAAGGTGGGAGGCAGGAGGGGGGTGGCAAGCATGGCAAGTTCGAGACCATGCCAGGACACAAGACCTAAATATATTAAGGGCCAGATTCCAGCCCACCAAGTGCGGCGCATACAGCCGCCTACCTGTAACATCAGCATGCTAGATGGGCCGTAGACGTATTGCAGCAGCCAGAGCATCTAGGCGGCCAGGGGCCTTCTCAGTACTATCGGCATCCTCACTATCCTCGTTAGGCATCTCAAGCTTGTTCATACTCTTTATATTAAATTGATTATTATAAAGAGAGATATGTTCAGCACAGATCCAGGAAGAATCATGTTGTCGACAAGATGGTCCACACAGTTGCGACGGATGTCGTGGATTACGCATTAGATTCTTCCAATCGACATCAGAGTTTGGTTTCACACATGGACATGTACTAGCGCTCAGAAATTCTAGAGTCTCGACATCGGTCTCAAGGTATATACACTCTGAGGGGAAAGGCTTTGAGCTGCAGAGCTCGCCATCATTGAAATGTCCCCATTTGGATATAGCCTACTCCTGGCTCTTGACCCTGCCAGCTGTCCTCGGCGTCATCGGAAAACATGCATACATGTACAGTACTGTACTGGTAATCACAAACAAACCCCCTTTTCAGCCAGTCGGTCGATGCCCATATACCGGTGTCATTGACATGCTGACAAAATCTTTTAAGCCATAACCGTCTAGGCTCCGTATGATGCCTCCTCGTCAATATAAAAAGACATCTGGGGTTCCTAGCCAGTCATTCGCCCAGTCTCTGAAAATTCACACTTGTTACACTCAATTTGATCTAGTCATTCGCTTCAAGTATAAAGAGAACTAGGCCTAACGAGATAAGCGTTTATATCAGATATATTCGGCAGCCTCCTCTGACCCGAAATGAACGTAGATTCAAACCGCGATGGCACAGAATCGGGACAGGCCTCTAGACAACTTTAATGCCCACGCATTTTGGGACCTAGTTCGCCTACCTATCAGTGCGGAGATGGTATTCTATATATCAGAAGTTTCTGCTGGAATACTCTATTGTAATCCAAACCTAAAGTTCACGCATGGCAGGACCCAGCAATCATCGACCAGCACAAGTCCTGCTGACTCTTTTCCCAACCTCTTCCAGTTCATAACCCGCCTCATCCACGCTGCTAAAGTGCCGACACCAACATTGATCTCCACACTTGTATATCTAAGACGTCTCAAAACGCGCCTGTCT